GGGGGGGGTGCTGCGATAACCGCAGGAGGTGCTGGGAACGGCCCCCGCCGGACCGCGGCGGAGGCGGGGGAAGCGCGCAGGGAGGCGGCGGTGGCACCGCCCCGGGCCGGGGTGGGAGCGGAGCGGGGAGGAGGAAGCGGTGTTGGTAGCAACACGTGCCCTACGCTGGGCGAGCAGCGCGGGCGCCGAGAGGTCCGGCTGGAGATGGCCGTGCCCGGCTGGCAGGTAACCCCATTCGGTCCCGACGTGAGGCTGCATCTGTTTCTTGTTATCTGCGTGGGGTAAATAAAGTGGCTTCTCTTAGAAATCTAAGTCGCTTGTGGGAGCGGGGCTTTATGCTTCTTTTGTGGGAATGGGTGGATTTTGCCTGTTTTGCGGCTGGTCGAGTTGTTACAGGACTCTGTTCTTACAGCGCTGAAGTATCCAGGGGGAGTAAGTTCGTGTTCGCGGCTCTGCGCTAACTCCGCTCTTTGCTTTGGCTTTGCAACGTGCAGCTTTGGCGATGCAGTGCAAGATACTCGGAGCAAAGCGGTCTGGGTCGTGTGAATGTTTGTTATCTGCATAAGAAAGTTGCGCTAAAAAATGCAAATGCCTTTTAGCCGTTCCCTGATTTGATTCGTCCCATTTGCTAACCGGAAAGGAGTTTAGTTAAGTTTAGGCTGTAGTTAATCAAACCGGTTGGTCAAACAAACAAACCTAAAATAATAAAAAGGGAAAAAGCATTCACACCAATACATCAACGTGGCAAAATTGTGTTAAGAGTATCTTCAAGAGAGGCTTAAGAAGTAAGCCAAAACTCTTTAAATAAAGACGATGAGAAATAATCCGTTTTTTCAGCGGTGTTTGCATAGCACAGCTATAGTAACTGGCAGGGAAATGCTTCATGCCCTTAATGTTACGACACTCACTGGAAGCTAAATTACCTTGACGTGACTTTAAGAAAGTGGAGGTTCTCACCTGGGTATTTTGGTGTTAATTTTTTGGTGATTGAGCCATAGAAGTTGTCAGGTACGCTGAAGTAATTTAGGTTGCCTCAGCAATGATCCTATTGAATGGCTGCTTCTGGCTGTCAGGGTGAATGGGAGCATTTGAGTAATAATCCTGTTTGTTTGATTTCTTGCTGCTGCTCGCTGCTGTCAGCGAGGCAAAAATGCTTTCAGATGGTGGAGGCTGAGGGTGGATTCAGCATGTGCAGCTCCGCTTTGCAATGACTGCAGAAAGAGTTTGAAGAATGTAGTGCAGAAAGGAAAATTTCATTTTATTTAAGATTTTTTTAAAACATGCTTCATTTTCAATAGAGATGGAGGTGTTAGAAGCATCTTTAACTTTGTTGACATTGAAGAAACCATCAAATAGGTTGAATATGTAGGTTATAGAATCACTTGGGTTGGAAGGAGCACATAAAGGCCATCTGTTCCAACTCCCCTGCGCTGAACAGGGACACCTGCAGATCAATCAGGTTGCTCAGAGCCTGGTTCAGCCTGACATGTGCGTGTACATTTGTGTGTATTGAAGCTGTTTATTAAAACCTGAGATGTAACGAGCACCTGCAACTACACTTGGCACAGGTAGGCACCTGAATAGCATGGGGATCCCTAAAATTGACCCCACTGCACAAGGTGGTAGCACAGGGTTGGAGGTTGCTTGTCCCCTCAGCTGTGATAATTACTACCAAGATTGAATAAGCTTCACTGCAAGGAGCATCAGCTGCAAGACTGGATCAACTTCTTTTTTTTTTTCCTTCGTCTTTTGCGTGAGTTTAAGCTGTTTGCCAGGTAACTGTGTTGATGAAATTCCTCTTATTCGAACAGATAATTGTTGATAATACGTGCTCAGGCAAGAATTGTTCCTAAGGATGTTCCTGTCTGTGGTGCTGAGGCCCTCTGGGTTTTGGGGCTGTCTATGGCAAACCAGGTTGGGCTGGCATGCAGCCTGCATCCCGTGGTTACCCCCGCAGAGATTTTTCCAGGCAACATTGTACGTCTGTTTGGCTGGTTTGGTTTAAGTCAGAGTGAATTGCTCATCTCCTTGTCTCTGAAGAGGGTTTCTTGCTGTTAGCTGAAGGTTGCCATCAGACCTCTGCTAGCTGTAGTGAAATTCACGCACGTGTGCAGCAGCTCAAGGTGCTGCCATGACTGGAGAACCTGTCAGTTTCGGTCACTCATCCCTATACTCTGAATTAATTTTAGTGGGGGATTTGAATTTTGGTCTCTCTGAGCGGTCTGTGGAGATGTGGGGCCTTCTGGCTGACTCTGGAGGGAAGAAGGAAGCTTCACCTTGGCGGAGGAGGCCAAAGCATGCTAAATATGCCCTAATTTCCTCTGTACCGGTTCTACCCTTGAGTGGAAAATTGCTCCTGATTTCCTCACATCTAGAGGATTTGTGTTGGCATCCTTCCCACGTTCCCATTTTACTTCAAGTTGTGTTTATTAGACAGCATACATGCAATAGAAGCTTGCTTTTAAGTGACAGGACCGCTTTTCCCCAGTCTATTCCTATCCACATTAAGCAGTTAAATGTTCCCCAGGTCCTGGGGGACTGTTTCTCAAAATGAAATTGCTCTTTGCAGGATTATGAGGTTGTCAGAGACACAAGTGCCTCCAACTTGCTTTCAAATTGAGTATCAGCCTAACAGCTGCACCTGAGAGTGCCTGCTGATGCTGTAACAATCAAGTGATGGAAGAAAAGGAGTTATTTGTTTTCGGGCAGTTTGGGTCTCTAAATTTACACTTTTTTTTGAGGGGGGGTATCCCATGTCCCATGTAAATGAGAATCCTGAATGAGGGCTGTAGAATCATGTGCTAAGAGAAACTGGGCCAAGTTTCCTGTCCAATTGGTCCAACGATTGATCATCTTACTAAATGCTTGGCAATTTCTCACTTGAAGGAATTAGATTGGGTGTAACTACAGGTTTATCAGCATTGCCACAGAGTGGGGTGATTGCTGCGTTGGTGGTTTTGCTCTACCTTAGGCAGCAATTATAAGGAAGTTGTTAATAAAACATTTCATTTGTTAGCTCTGCTCCATCTTCCCTGGGTCTCCAGTACTGTGCAAGTAGTAGGGCACTGTGGATGCACTGTGTGCCTGTCCTGCTCCTAAGGTGAGGAGGACATAACTTCTGAAAGCAAACTGTGCTGTTGCCACCCACGTTATAGCTTGTCTTTCTGTGCTAGGGCAAATACCTTCGCCTGTGTATTTTCATTTGTACTGACTCATCACGTAGCTGTGCTGATGTAAAGCAAGTTCCTGCTAAAAGTATTTGGGAATTACAAGTTCTGTTATTGTTCATTAAAAATGCAGTCCTTAAAAGAAGGCAAAACCTCACACAGACAGTTGGAGACAAGCTGAAAACCATTTGACCTGTCTCTTCCACTTTAAAATTGCTCATTATTTCATATAACTCAGAATCTGAAGTGAGAATAAATGGCAAAAGTTCAGTGATTTTTTTTTTTTTTTTTTTTTTTTTTTTTTAAATCCTGAGTTTCTTGTCAGTGAAAGGAGATACTGGTTTACACACATAACTTACCCATGGAACTCAGGAGTGCATAGTATTCCTTTTGCTTATTCTAAACGATTTTCTAAACTTTTAAGACAAATCCATGCAGGAAAGTGTTCTAGAGATGTTAACCTCTAAGCTGCAGATATGATTTCTAGCTGAAGCAGCCCCTAAATGACAGATTTCTGGAAACGAGGAGATTATTTTGCAGGTGGAGTCTGTATGACTTGCTGATCTTGTATTCTTTTCTCTGAGCATCTGCTTTTGGTCAGAGTTAGAGGCAGCTTATTGGGCTGAAGTGGCATTTGGAGCAATGCAGTCCACTTACACCCTGCATGGGACAAAAATTTGGAGAGATTATTTTCAGGTTACCATTACTTTGCCCAAAATATATCCCAACAGGTGAATGTTGGATGCAACTTCGATTTTCAAGCTTAGGTGAAATCTGCAGGGGCGTGCATAGTACAGTGTCCTTAAATTTTGATCAGTTAGCTGTTTATGACCTTCTGCAAATTAATCTGACGTTTTGCCAGGTTGCCCTGCAGCTGCAAAGTTTCATTGTTTTGTCAATGAAATAATTGAATTATTTTGTGAAAATCAGAAGAATGTTAGATTTTTGCTGATGCCACCTTCTGGTAAGCACTGCACCAGGGCTGATGGTGGCAGATTGTGCCTGTGCTTTCCATTGACCTCAGCTGTTGTCTAAGAAAAACAGACCCTTGAGCTGGGAGCCTTCAAGGCATCGTGTGGAATTTGTGCTGGAACACTTCCAGCTTGGATGTGCATGTTTCCAGCCTCCTTGTCACCAGAGAGAACCCCACTTGTGTAGGTGGGGTGCATGGGGCGGCCGCCTTTTGGTCTCACAGCATTGCTTGGTGTTAATGCTTTCTGATAGTCCTTAGCTGCTAGTAGTTAAATGCTTTCTTTTGGTTTCTTGGTTAATGCGTGGAGAGTTGAGTTAGATTGATGCAGAGGATGACTTTTCTGCTTGCTACATTGGTGCTTGTTTCGTATGTATTTACACAGATGATCCTTGCTAGCTTGTTTTCATGTTCCGACAAGAACAATTTGCTAAAATACCAGTAAGATAGTGACATAGATTTTAAAATCTTTTTGTTGTTACTTTGTTTACCTTCTAGATCGGGGCGGCGCGAAGCATTTGTTTCCTTCCTTTCTGGAAAATACTTGTACCCTTGACCATTCTTCCTGTTACCCACTCCTAGGAGCTCCATTTGTATACTGCAAAGTAAATTCTGCTTCAGTGAAGTCTTTAGGTTGATACAGCCTTCATTGTTTCAGAAATTCTTGGAATTGGGTGGCTTTGCTGCCTTAAAATCAGAGATAAAATCTAACTTAGAGAGAGTTCCAGCTCCATATAATGTGATAAATTAAAAGATAAAATCTCTGTGGGATTTTCTAGCAAGTGCTTTTATTCCTTTTTTGCTCTTAAATATAGGAGAACTGCTCAGGAACTAAGTTTTAGCTGGGATATGGCATGTAATCTAGGTTTTTTGGTAATCTCCTTACAGAGATGAGTGAAAATGAGATGGCTATTACAACTTAAGCAGGCATTTGTTGTAATGTCACTGATGTGGAAGTAATGATTTGGAGCTGTTGGTGAGGACTGGCAGAATTTCTCAATTCCTATTACCATGGCTGTGATTTTTTTTCTTTTCTAAACCTGGCTTATTTGGCATTAAATGGGAAGGGGTGATGGTGGTTTCTGCAC